ACCATCTTAAAAGGCTACAATAATCTGTCAAAACACCCGTTATATTTGTGTTTTAACCTCTGCTGTGCCACACTACTGAACAAGTTTTATGTTTTTCGGCCTCGCAAAACAACAGACCACAAAAAGCTTCTCAATTGATATTCAAATATTTATATCGTGAGCAGGTTAACCTAAAGTTTGCGGTTTTTAGTTATCATCATTACTGAGTGTGCACTCATGATAGCGGATGTAATTATAACATGTCAAAACATGCAAATTTTGACTCTCTAGCCCGCGGCTTTTATGACGTATTTGTATTTACAAACAATACTGGCACCAAAACATAACACAACACCGAATGAATCAGCACATTTATCAAGTTCTATCACTTAAACATTTCCCCATTTTGTTTTGGTAAATTTTAGCAGCGCTTACAGCCATTTTTAAGGCTTTTTGTGATTTGCGATTAACATTTTAATATGGCACTTTTTCCGTGTCTAAATAAATAACCCGAGTTCCCCCAACGGAATTAAATTTTATCCTTTTCATAATGAAAAGAACTTTAAGAGAATCATCAGCGGTTCATGCTTAAAGAAACGACTTAAGAGAATAACAGATCTATCAAACTCGAGTTCAAGGTTTCACTCTTAATTCACTGAAATTAAATCAGTTAAGTTTTCATATAAATATGTATCTTACACAAAAATGACTGAACGTTTGTCGGACCCTTGCGACAGCCCTTCAAATTTACTGCGTATTCGAAAGAGCTACAGTTTTTGTACTTATTTCTTTTCAATTAAGAGCTCTCCTTTTTTGCGACCACTCGATCGTGCTCCCCAGAAATACCGGGCAGTTATCATGCTGTATGCCAGCCTGTTTGCCGAACTATGCTCACGATATTCGCTTATCACATGCAAAACTTCAAACGCTGTTTTAGATAAAGTTCTTGACCACAGCCAGAATATTAGACTGCAAGGTCTAACAACAAAAGTAGTAGTAAAGAACATGAATAAAGAGTCACAACTAAACTAACCTGCTATGTTCCAGGTGACAAGAACATAGAATGTTAAAGCCACCAACACGCGATAAACGTAGGAAAAAGAACTCTGCATGGTTGTACTCTTTTCCCGTTTCTGCCGCGAAGGTGCTATGGAAACAGAAAATCGTTCAGCGTAAGTGCTCTATAATTTTTTCGTGATCCTTAATTTATTTCACAGTTGTGCGCACAAGACGTCAGTTCATAACAAAAAATAATACAAATGATACTAACGATTCGCTCAAAATATTAGAGAAACGTCGAAAAGTTCTTGAGTCAGGCTTCAATTATTGTAGTTACCTTGGTATCGTTGAAATACTCTTCAGTGCTCTGCCGCTGTCTTCTCGTGGCAGCTTACGTAATGTTCCTACCAACTCTGCAGCTGTTCAGGTCCAACTTTCCGTATATGTATGCGTACCAATCAACAATATTGAAACCTTTGTTATGCAAAATAATCACAAACGTATGCAAAATTACCAAAATTTAATCGTCTCTTACGTAACATTATCTTTGTCAGGTTTCACGAAAAATATAACAGTAAAATAAGTGATTATGGGTTAGGGTTAGGGTTATTGCAAATTACTTCAGGTTTACTGATAATATTCTCATTGCCCCCGCTTCTCTGCAACTGAGAATAATTTTATTTTTTGATGAATTGGTTTTTCAGCAGCTCTCAGTGTAATATTTTGCTTCAGTCTGACCTATTTTCCTTGGAGAGCTAGAAAAAAATTACAAAACAAAAAGTTGAGTAAAGCAGGACGGAGACATCTGTGTGCGAAACAACCAATAACAAGTCAAGTGATGGGTTGTATTGTACTTGTAGCCGTGAGTATAAATTGAACAGTGATAAGGAAAAAACAGCCCCTTCTGTCCTAAAAAAAGCGAAAATTTGTTTGTTATGTTAACAACCAAACGTACAGATATCGACAGAAAGGAAGCTTCCAAACAATGACACAATGGGGACAATATTGACGGTATTTAACTGATTGTTTCAATTTTGCTTTCAGTTGCCATTTGCGCACGACCTGTCTTTGTAGCAACAAGCCGATTGGCTAATCTTGTCACGCTTGGAAAATTGCAGCCACGGATATGAAAATCAAAATAGTATCCCGCAGAAACCAAAAGTAGACACGATGACGGGGCAAACTTGTCAAAGAACAAAACACCAAATTGAAGACTGCGGCGCAGGATCAAAAGAATGCAGATTTCTTCAGAGATTAGGTGAAGTTAAACTCAAGTAAAATAGAGGATACACTAAAGATTCCAAAGCTATTTTCAAGCATAAGGAACCCGTGTCTTCATTAACGACGCAAAGAAGCAAGATTCACTTTGGGAAGAGGTTAGCTGATAACTACAGCAAAAAGCACTTTGGTAGAAATGATGCACGGCTGACTTTGATGTGCAGATCTGATAGCCCAAAATAGCATAATACCCCTCTTATATCAACTCCAAACAAATGTTAACAACGCATTGTATCTTATTTTAATATATGGCTAAGGAGTAGAAATAGAAATTCTTTAAAAAAAAGGACTTTCCGTTCTATTGTATATCGGACAGGAAATCCGTTAGAGCAAACTCCAAACGATGACGAGTCATCTTAATACCAATACTTTACAAAAGTTTACGTTATCGATAATGTTTTCAACAAGTTGATCATCTTAAGGTGACTGTCACTTCTTCAAGCGTCCCTCTTTTGTTTAAGCGCGGTGCGCGTTGAGTGAGGCCCTGTTGCACTCGAAAAGTGACTTCAACTAACCATCAAGTACTTTCTTTTCTCTTCTTTTGCGGACCGGAACTCTATTAGGGCAACCTACAAACGATGACTTTGAAACGTGTCATTTTTAAAAGAATTTATGTTATCGATAAGTTGTTTTTTGACAAATTCATGCGCCATTTTCATGGGACCGTCACTCCTTCAAGCTCCTTCAAGTGGTTTGAGCGGGGTGCGCGTTGAGTACCCCTGATGCACTCGAAAAGTGGCTTTACCTAACCATTAAGCGCCGCGCTAACTGTCACCGACGAAATGCAACTGCGCCGGGGAACGAGGCACGATAGGTGACGAGTATAAACGGCAGCTAGAGAACTATAGTGGAATCCGGGAACGGTGCAACAAAGTAACGACTGTGAGATCACGAGCCGGTCATTTTGGCTTTGTGTTTGAGGAAAACTCGGCCAGAGAAGTCACATGATTATCGTAACGTCAATGTTTTTGAAAAGCTCCGTTTTCAAAATGTTTTCCGTCCACACTGAAAGCAAAGCCAGCGTTTTCAAACTCCTCCGGTTTGAAGCGCGTTTTCTCGAAGAGCTCCATTTTCGTGACGGATTAGTGTGGATGGTAGGCCTAATCGGAGAAATAAAGCTTCGTTTTCGTGACGGATTAGTGTGGATGGTAGGCCTAACTGCAGAAATAAAGCTGCGTTTTGAAATTTCTCCGGCGTAGTGTGGACGGGGCTTTGAATGAGCGCAGCACGTTTGACTGCACCACATGATCATCTCGAGCTAGGTAGATAGAAACGAAGATAGTTTATTGAAGCTTTAAAATCACAGCTCTAGAGCTGAATTATAAAAAAAACTTTACAAATCAATTCAAATAAAAAAAAACTATGCTAAAGTGTGATAAATGAAAAACACCAAATAAAATAGTCTATATTCAGTTGCTAGAGGAAATAATTCAAAAACTTGAGTACCCTCAAGACTAAAACGTCTTGAATGATCAAGAGGAAATTTTTCATATTCTTGCATACATACAAATGACTAAAGTGCGAAACGCGTGCGGAATGAAAATGAGTCCTTAACGGTTATTAACATAAAATCTAGTCTGCGAGCAGGCTCACCTTTGAGTCACGCGCGCGAGCGGCGAAGAGCAAAGCGATCCGGCGGGAAGGAGTCTGGGGAGAGCTACTTTCTCGTCTTGCCGCTAAAAATGGCGCTCGCGGATACGCCTTGTGCGCTTGTGTTCCAACGTAAGCCTGCTCGTAGGCTACATAAAATCCGATTGGACAGTTTGACCGTGGCATAACCATATTAATATTAACAGGTTTAAGGAACACTGAGACACCTATTCTCGGCTAAGAATACTAAAGTCGCAAGCAGTTCATAAATCTGAACTTTAAATTTGGCCAGACACCTAAAAAAAATTATTTTGTTAAGTAAATAACTGGCTAAAGATGAAGATAGCAACCTTTACTATAAGGTTTTATATATTTACACTCCACCCCCTCCACCCACAACAACAACAACAGCAACAAAAATAGGTATGTCTGAATTTATGAAAACCACGTCAAATTTCGGGCAAAACTTTCGCCCCTGCCTTCCGCCTTTGCTGCGCTTGAAAACCTGGGGAGGGGGGAGGGACTTCCGTCAAGGAGGGTTGGGGCAGACAGGCCAGGTGTCTGGCTACCAGCTGATTCCAAGCGGGCCCCCCAGGGTTTAACCCCAGGGAGGTAGGGTGGGTCACAGAGAGAGGATTTTTGCAGGGCAAGCTTGCTTTGGCCACCTATGCCCAGCAGCGTTAGGAGCTGGCAGCCAGCCAGCCAGCCAGCCAGACACAAGCAAGGTGAGGGAGTAGGCTGCGTAGTGACAGACTGCCTGTGATTGATTGAGTACAAAAGCCTGTGTATGTTCTTCGAAAAGTGTCAGGCTGGTTGCGTTGAAATTAGGACGGTTTTCATAAATCCAGACATATTCAAATAAGTAAAACAACGGTAACTTGAAAGCGGTAATTTCACACATGGTACTGGTAAACAGATTGAAGCTCTGGCTTGCGGTTTAATTTTGCGTATTTTAAGTTACAACATCGTAGTGAAAAATAATTAACAATTATTCACCGAAGTGGAGGTAAATATCCATCACTTTCACCGACACTGAGGTGAATAATTGTTTTAGTATATACCACACAAGCTGAATAATTAGCGGACCAAAACTTTATTTTGTGTGACAAGCGGTCGGAAATTTTAAAATCTCTCGCGCCGGCTGCTCGGAGGTGTATAGTACTTGCTAATCACCTCCGAGTTAACCAATCAGAGTTCGCGAAAAGCACTATTCACTTGTGTGGCATATACTAATTACAGTTATACTCCGTTTTACAGACTCCCGCTTGATTATTACGTGTGACACCTTAAAACAGACGGTCCTTTTGGTCTCCACATAGCCATACATTTTCTTCCAAGGTAGTCACGGTTATCATCAATCGTTATTTGCCCTTTCGGTGCTCGTGTGAACAAGGATCGAAGGTGTACCTGAATCAATTAAGTTTTAATCAATTCATGATTTTGTTTCTGAAAACAGGTTTTTCAAGCTTTTTAAACGGTTGTAATCTGCACTCTGTATCGATTGGCTACCAGTAACTCTATATGTTCCCTAGATTATAACGGTCGCAAAAGAATCAAATTATCGTCTCGTCGGGACCAAGTTCAGTCGCCAAATATAAAACAGGTGCTTCTCCTTCATCCCGGTCTTCTTGGTTATTCCTAGGCTGATCCCTCGAGTAATTTTCACCTTTGCTTTGCTCGTCTGGGAAATCAAACTGGTCTGAAGCTCTTGCCTTGCTTGGACGGGATCGATTTGACTTCTCTGCCGTGTTTCCATCATCAGAAACATCAACTCTTAGATTTACATCCCAGGCTTTCTGGTTATTCCTAGTGTGGCCATAGCTTTGATTCTCATATTCCACGCGTTCCTTTGCGGAATCAAGATGGCCGGAATCCCTCGCCTCGCTTGATCGTGACCGATCTTTCTTCATTGCGGTGTCTCCCTTTCCAGAGTGGCTTCCGTCATCTTCTGCATCATCAAAGGCAGCACCTCTTTTAGGTCCGTAATTTTCGAGCTTGGGATGCACGGAGTTCACATTACGGAACTGATCTCTTGATGAACGACTCCTTCGAGGATCTGTGTTGAGTAGACGTGACGGGTCAAGTTGAGCATATCCATCAAACTCATTGCCTTTGCTTGGTTGCACGAGACTCATACCCAACGGAGCGTAGAAGTTGTTATTTCGTCCGTCGTCAACGGATGGGTCAAGGGTCGAGGCAGGGCCGAACATTTTACCTGGAGGCTTCGAATAGTGCGGTTCCTCACGTTTAAGGGCGTCTTTGTGGAATTCTCTCTTTTCCAAGCTTGAATAACCAGAATCGGGGTTTCTTTTGGGGGAAACGAGCCTAACTCGCTGTTCACCTGAGGGGGACTTCTTTCGCTTAGCTTTATCATGACGGTCTTTGCTGTTTGAAGAAAAGTTTATTTTTCCGTTTTTAGGTTTAGAATTGAATTCCTCGGGGAAAGCTTCGTAAGTAGCATTAAAAGCAGCAATTGGGTTTGAGCGTTTTCGGCCATGGTGTTTCGCAATATCATTGTGTATCTGAGTAGGGAGGCGTCCATTTGCGCGGTGCTTTCTTTCAAACGCCTGATCACTGGCTTGTCTCAAATGGGCTTCGCCATCGTGTTGGTGATCACGTGTTTCCTTCATCTTAGCCTCTAGCGATGGGGCTATTTCAGCGTATAGAGGGTCCTTCTCGCGCCTGGAAGAAGATATTCTTTGACTTCGGTACCCTGTCTCGGAGGACATGACAGGTGATATTTCCTCGTAATCTGGTATGGTGAAGGGAGCCGCGTCTGAATCATCGTTATTGAAGTCACGGGGTTCGAAGCCCGGATTGTTGAATGAACATACCAATGTATCCCGAAGCGGTCGTCTTCGAGACCTTTAAAAAAAAAAATACAGGTGTAATTGGCTATGAAACGCTAACTCGTTGTCTGTTTGTTAACAGGCTATCTAGCTAAGAAAATTCCATTTATTGACAAATTGTGAAATGTATTAACAAAATCGACCAGCTCAATGCTACGAAATATCTACTGCCTTGATTTTAGCAAACTGGGCTCACGGTCTCTTCGGTAATGTCTGCGCGATTTCGCAAAATAATTGTCTTATAGCAGTTACGATTCAAGATTCGCGCGGAGATAATAAAATATGGCATACCACAAGCCAGAAACATGCTCGATTTAAAAAAGAGACATTTTTATCAGTGAAATTCTGACGATGTGCGTAGAAATAGCCGCCTTTTCTATTACTCGCTGTTATAGCAGGGAGTTCGTTATGTCAGTTGCACTGCCCTACAACATTTGCGCTCACATAAGGAAAGCATTCGAAAAATGAACTGCTCAAATACGAAATAATGTTTGATGAAGTAGTTTGATAACAGTTAAAATTTTGACTGCTTACCTGTAAAACAAGAGAGCAACAACGATAATGATCATCAGGAGTATCAAAGTGCCGACGACAGTGCCAGCTACTCCAACAGAAGATAACTTCTCTTGCTGGCGACCTGCGGCTTGCGTCCTTTTCGCACTGGTATTATCATCATTGCCTTCTGAATCCGATACACATGGTGGATCTTTCTCTCCATTTATCAATTCTATAGAGGTATCACCCATGTACTCTGAAATCCGCTCCCACGTACTCACCACCATTCTGCAAAGAATGACAGCTGGGATGGTCTCCCGTTCAGCTATTGACTGTGGTTCATCTAAGGGTATGAGTACCGCCGCAACGACAGTAAACAATCCTGGTTTGTCGGCTTCAGAAGACCGATTGACCACTAGGACGTCGTCTGGTCGAAAAGCAACATTAGCGATTACCTCCCTTCTGCGCAATGTGGTTCTATCTTCCGGGCTAAAAGATAAAGAATGAAATTCATTGTGATTTTTTCCTTGTTATCTGCAAGCCTCTCTGTTAGATAAAACTCAAAAACCAACACTTTGTGAAGCGGGGAAATACCTTGATTTTGAGTTGAGAGCTAAAAGGGTGATAGGAACAATCACAATATACCTGTGACGAAGATTGCAGGGGGATTTGTCCCTGCAGTACTCGGTGAAAGCCCTTGAAATGCTCTTCCGGAAGGTATCATCTTTCCACTTAAAGCAAATAGGCAGAGAAAATAAGGTCAAACTCAAAGCAAGGCTTATTTTAATCAATATGAGGTCATTTTTACTAATGTCATGAAGTCATAATGGACTCACTTGGTCAACTGCCGTCTTGAATGCTATTTCCACAACATCGTTACCTGGCAACATAAAGGCAAAATTAAGGCTAAATGCTCGTGCAAGTTTGAGAGAATTTCAAATATTACTCATAGGGTAAGTCCCTAATTGCACTCGCATTCATGCGATTACCTAAACTAATGCATCGGTAAATAGCGCTAAATACGCACCCTACGACTCGGGTTTCCCAAATCTTATGATGTCAGTCTATTTCAGGGTCTCATTCAAGTCGTATACCAGCAATGGGCAAGGGATCAGGCAAGTCGATGCCAGCTAAATTATTAAAATAGCAAACTTAGACTCCCTAAGGTTAAGCAAAATTTGAGAGCTACTTGTCCCAAGGGCAAGCTAAAATTCATAAAGGACGAGTTTTTTCGAGCCCTGGACTTACTGTTTTGCATCGATCGTTGTTTGAATTACCAACAGCGTCACACCAGACAAATAAAGATAGTAGTAGAGAGGAATACAAAGTGGAAAATTACGAAGCATTCTGCACTGGGATTCTTTACACGTAACGACAGTAGATTCAATTTAAAAATCAACAAATTCACATCTGTGCTTCTTACAGGCCATAATTGATACATACCTACAAGGAGTTGACAGCGTGACAACCCATACCTCATAGGGCATACACAACTGAATGCACCTTGTTTTCCTTTTATACAAGTGCCACCATTCTGACACGGATTTGAGATGCACGGATCTCTTGAGGATGGCGATGTCGCAGAGGAGGCCAATAATATATTTGAAGACACTGATGGCGATGGGGTCATTGTTGTCTCACTTAATGAAGTTGACTTTATGAAAGATGAATGTTTTGTTGACATATGTGACGAGGTAGGCTTTCCTTGTGAGTTCCTTCGTGTAGCAGCAATTGATGAAGACGAAACATGCAGTATTTGTGACCTCGAAAACAAAGGTACCCTAAATAAAGTGGTTGAGAGCGATGGTGCATGTGATAACGACCGCGAAGATGAAGATGAGGACGATGATGGGGGTGAGGATGAAGGTAAGGGTGACGGTTTTTGTGAGGGTGAAGATGAAGATGAAGGTGAAGGTGAAGGTGAAGGTGAGGGTGGCGGTGACGGTGGCGGTGACGGTGACGGTGACAGTGACGGTGACGGTGACGGTGACGGCGAAGGAGAAGGAGAGGGTGAAGGTGAAGGTGAAGGAGAAGGTGAAGTTGGAGGTGGAGGTGGAGGTGAAGATGAGGATGAAGATGATGTTGAAGGTGATGGTGAGGGTGAAGGAGAAGGAGAAGGAGAAGGAGAAGGAGAAGGAGAAGGAGAAGGAGAAGGAGAAGGAGAAGGAGAAGGAGAAGGAGAAGGAGAAGATGAAGGTGAAGGTGAAGGTGAAGATGACGATGAGGATGAAGATGGTGGTGACTGTGATGACGACGGTGATGTTGAAGAAGAAGGAGAAGGAGAAGGTGACGGTGAAGGGGAAGGAGAAGGTGCAGGTGCAGGTGCAGGTGGAGGTGGAGGTGAAGATGAGGATGAAGACGATGGTGAAGGTGATGGTGACGGTGAAGGGGAAGGAGAAGAAGAAGAAGAAGGTGAAGGTGACGGTGAAAATGAAGATGAAGGTGAAGGTGAAGGTGAGGGTGACGGAGAAGGTGAAGGAGAAGGAGAAGGAGAAGGAGAAGGTGATGGTGAAGGAGAAGGAGAAGGAGAAGGAGAAGGTGATGGTGAAGGTGAAGGCGATGGTGAAGGTGAAGGCGACGGTGAAGGTGAAGGTAATGGTGACGGAGAAGGTGAAGGAGAAGGTGACGGTGAAGATGAAGGTGAAGGTAACGGTAAAGGTGACGGTGACGGAGAAGGTGACGGTGAAGGTGAGGGTGAAGGTGAAGGTGAAGGTGAAAATGAAGGTGAAGGTGATAGATAAGATGAAACTGTTGATGATGGGAAAACAGGTGTTGTTTTACAGGAAATGCCAACGGCAACATTAGCAGGACACGCACACTGGTAACCCCCAGGTTTTAAGAGACAGAGATGTGTACACCAACCGTTAAACAAGGTGCAAGGGTGATTGTCTGAAACGTGAAACAATGAAAGTTATAAGTTATGATTTACAAGGCACTGACCCATCTGACCCATTTCAAGCTATGTATTTGTCTTTTACAGAGGCTTTAGAAGGTCTGTCATAAAGCTAAATCTTCCGTCATCGCATCAGGTTAAATGCAATGCCCTTAAAATTCCGACCGAACCCATTATAACTTGTAATTATTCCTTGAAATAGCTTGCTGGCGTTGGAAAGCAACTGTAACTTAATCTAATCATGATTAGTTTTCGTTTTGAAGCTCATTTATCTACATGCAATCTGTCATTGCAGACGTTTTCCAGAACTCGACCAGCACAAAACTAAGGCAAATACCCAAAGTAAAGGAATCAATAGTGAGAGAACATCTAAAGTGCATATTAAAACTGGTCTATTGACATACCAGGTATCCCGGTATAGTTATGGTAGACATGAACGTCTCGAGGTCTCGAGAAGCTTCCAGCGAGACGTTTCACGTTACTACCAGTCATCTTATCTGCCGAATAAACAGATCCAAAAGTACTCCAATACAACGTATTTTCTTTCAGTGTTAATCCGTAGGGCTGGAATAAATACGCACTTCCCACAGAGAGGGTAACCTTAGCACCATTTCCTTGTTGTAAGTCAGTGTACTGTATTACAGAGTTGCTCGTGTCAACCCAGTAAAGTCTCCTATTTTCGGGATCTAGTGCTAATCCATTTGGTTTCGACGATTGCCACCAGGCGCTGGAGAATTGTACTAGGGTTTTCCTCATGCTTCCGTCCATAGAGGCACGTTCAATAGTAGGTTGTGTATTACTCCAGGAGGACCAGTACATGATCCTTAAGAAAACATAAAAATTCCATTAAAATTACAAAAAAAAAAAAAAACATCGTTGACTAGCTGTCGCCTGTGTGGAATAAAATGCAGATTTACAGGCAGCAAACCAGAATTAAAGAGCAATGCTGGCAAGAGTGTAAATAGAGTAAAAGAGCTAAAAACCGGCAATTGATAATTATGTCCAGCGACTTAAAGACTGGGTTAGGTGGGGCTGGACGAAAAAGTAATTGTTTCGAGGTTAAAATGTACAGTGCTTGGAAGCGCATCGAGCGGCTTACAAAATGGCTTGAGCGGAATGTTTAGCTCTGTGACACAGTAGAGCCATTCAATAAGTGTTTTTTTTTACTAGACCACTGTTATCTGTTTAAATTTTGTTGAACAATCGAGGAAGTGTTTTGGTTTCTTACAGGTCATTTCTGCAGGTTCGGGAATGGACTAAAATTCAGTAGCTTGTAACGGAGACTATAGTGCTGGAAAATCTCATAAAAACAACCTCGCGTAATTTGCATTTGAAAATACTCCACCTCATTAGCCTGTATTGGCCTTTCGCAACAACATGCTGCATGGCAAAAGAATGCATCAGCCTACAAAGAAGCGACTTCAAACATTTAAGCTTCAGTTTTCTGTGTTTTACATACCCTAGTGCAGGCTTGTCATTCAATATGGTCGATTTTTTACTCATGATGGGCTACTGTTATTTAAATGCAATTCTTTCCGGGAATATTTAAATGTCATATTGCTATGAACTGCTGACGTGCGTGGATGTCTGTCAGAATTTCATTTTGCAAACTCGAGGTATTGGCTCCTGTGTCCAGAACACGACCTGAGGAGCTCCCGCTCTCTATATGTACTCATTGTTTATATATTCTTACCCGTTCTTCAAGTCCAACACAATATCCATAGGCTTCTGATTGTTCTGAGAGACTAGAACCTTCCTTTCTGATCCATTGAGTTTTGACACTTCAATCCTATTGGCATCAAAGTCTGTCCAATACAGATTCCGTCCAACGTGATCCACTGCAAGTCCTTTAGGACTTTGCAGACCGTTGTTGACAATAATCTTTTTTGCGCTACCATCAGGATGAGCACGTAATATCTGACGCAGCTGCAGCTCGGACCAGTAAATGAAGCGTTCCTGTGGGTCATAGTCCAGTGCTTCAGGTTCTGGCGTATTGCCTAATTTCACAGCAGTTGGTTGTGCTTGTGGGTTATCCAAATTAATCAGGAATATCTTCCGTCTACTTGAGTCGGCATACAACAAAAATTCGCTAAAATAACCTGCAATATAGAAGGAGACGACAATAACTTATCCAAACTATTATGGTTTTTATCACGACGAGGTTTTTTTGCTTTTGTCTATGTTGACAACCAAACGTTTACATGGTAAGCATAATTATGACTCATTTCACGTGGCCTGCAGTTGTTTCAATTTAAGTGTGGTACCGGTGATTCTATCTATTTCGCGGTACACGCCAACCACAATTATTGCGCAGTAGAGCTCATTTGATCATTATGGGCTACAAAGTAACTATAGTAATGTTTAGGTTAGTTTCAGGCAAGACTGTTAAAAATTTCAATAAAAGCTTACAATTTTTCTTGTCAGTCTTCAATTTCATTTCATTAGGACATGCGCACTGATGTCCACGCGGCGTCAGTAAACAAAGATGGCTGCAACCTCCGTTGTTTATCCCACATGAGGAATTTACTGCGAAAGAAAGGCATAATCGAAACGTGAATATTTAGGTGCAAGAATTAAACAAACAATAAAAACAAGAATAATCAAAGACATTTTTTAAAGAAGAAATAACGAAAGATTTCTTTTTTGTGGTGCAAAGTCTTACAACACTCATTTAATTTCATCCATTTTTTTTTTTTTTTTTTCGCAATTTAGCCACACGTACCTGTTTGCACAGTGTCATTCGCGTCATATACGCAGACATCTTCTGGTCCACGCAAGTTATCAACAATTTTTTTATTATTTCCACCTGATACTCTATCAGCCCTGTAAACTGCCCCACTCTGTCCCTGCCCTTCTGTCCAGTAGATGTAATTTCCATGTAGTGCTACACCCTTTGGATATCTAAAGGAAGGTCTTGTCAAAAACGTGGATCGTGTATTAGTGCTGAGGGAAACAAAGCTGATTTCAGTGCTTAGTCCGACCACATAATAAAGACGATTGCGTTCTTTGTCCAAAGCGAGGCCATTTGGTGTTCCAAAATGGAAAAAGGTCAAAGTGATTATCACTTTTCTATTTGTCCCGTCCATATCGGCTCGTTCTATCTTTGGGTTGTTGAGTCCACTCGCTCCTTCAGCCCAATACATGTACCTGCCAAGAAGGTGCTAAGTTGTAAAAATAATGCTTAAGAAATAGAAAACATGTACCGTGTTTCTGTTGGGTTTTAGTATAAATCTACAAAATGGGAATAAATCTTTGCGCAAGTTAAAATCATGACACATGCTGACATCTAACTGGCATCCACAAACTCTGAAACTGGAGCAAGCTAGACATCCATCTGTTTATTGAACAAGCTAATGAAATCCCGGCCTTCAATCAAATTCAAGGCTTAAAAAAATCAAGGTTTTTTGGAGAGCCGACAAATCATAGGTGTAAACAAGGTCAAACAAACGAAGCAAAGATGAATCCTGCATATATGGCTTTCTTTAACGAGGCGAGGAAGGCGAAGTGATAATACATAATACGCACGCACTGCTGGCATTTACAAAGAAGCAAAGCTCATAACATAGACTTTTCTTTATATTTCCGTTCTGATCTCACATTTGGTGACGAAACATATTCTGTACAAGGAGAAACACCTTTTCTAGGTTTACGAGCGTTTTTGAACCGATCAAGTGATTGTTGTGGGCGTAGGAATTTTTTTACGGTCAAAACTGAATAATTTGATCGTCTTAGATGCTCAAACCACAAAAACAACTTCTCCGATAATCTGATAAGTAGGCTAATGCCGAGCTCAATCGCCTCAATCGCCCTTATCTTTCATTAGGTTCATGTACATTCCTGATTACCCCTAATGCCCACCGAAACTTTTAGCAGCTTTTGGAATAATTACGCCAGACGAAAATTTTAGAGAACGAAGAAAACCGTCCGAAAATTATGGGACATGATAAAAGTGAGCACATCAATTCCGAAGATTAAAGAGAAACTTTATAGTTTTCCGAAAAAAATTGAAAAATCTAGAGCGTCGCTGGGAAACAAAATTCGAAATTTTTAGGTAATCTTCCATCCGAACAGATATTTTACCGAAATATTCCGTTGGGTGCCCCCGAGCAGTGTGCGCTTGTTAACAAAATAATGGCCGCTTCTTGAATTGGCGTTTTCGAAGTGTCTGTGAAGAGGATTTAGATAAAGTTCTGAACGACTAGTAGATTTATACTAAAACAATTAGATTATTCGCTCGCGATTTCTATGCGTGATAGTTGACTCGGGCAGCGCCCTCGTCAACTATCACGCAATAGAAATCTGTAGCTCATAATCTATTTGTTTAAACTATAAACACGAGTGGAAGGTTGGGAGAACGAGAAATGCTGTGGGAACACGAACCGACAGGCGAGTGTTTCCACAGCTTTTTTCGAGTTCTCCCAAACAGGAGACAAAACGAAACATCTCTAGAAGCACGAGGACTATTGAAAGGTAACTGCTCAGTTAGAAAGAGATTAATTACATCTTTTTCAAATATTCAATATTCAGGATCATCGCAGTTTTACACACGACTTAAGCAGTTGTGAAATTAACGCCTGAAAATCCCGTTCAGGCCTGAATTTTTTTTTCAGACTTTAATTTCACAACTGCTTAAGTTGTGTGTATTACTGCGATGATCATGTCTTCACATCTTTCTCCGCAGTACAGAAATAAATTATATGATCTCTCATATATGCACTTGTATTCAAGATTCAGTTTCCGAACCTATACCGTACATGCAGTGATCTCTCTGGGTTTGAGGCCCCATTAGGAAGGTCCTGGTATACCACCTCCCGTTAATTTTTGGCCTAAATATCCTGTATCAACAATTCTCTCGGCTGCGTAGCAGGCTGGATTTTGAACTCGACTCATTAACAAACCTCTCGCAGCTTCGTCACTCGTGTTCGCGGCCACCGTCAAAAGAAAACCACTCGCGCGCGAACTCTCGTCAGCTGGGCAAAGCTAACAATTTTCATACCCGTTATCTCAGGATATCTGATCTAGAAAACCCGTATTCCATTAATTTTTTCCCCCCAAATATCCTGTATTCCGTTAATTTTTTAAATAGATATCCCAAATCCCGAAAACCTGTAATATAATATAAGGCCTCAAGTTTGATTGATAATCGAAAGACATTAAATTCACACTTACCCATTTTCCATGTCCAGGACAATATCAACAGGGTCATAAAGATTTTGATACACGAGCGTCTTCCTAAAGGAACCATCCAGTTTGGACACTCCTATTCTATTGCCTGTCCTGTCTGTCCAATATAGATTCCTTCCAACAGAGTCCACTGCAATTCCATCTGCTGTTCCCAGCTGATCCACTACCTGCTCCTGAGAGCTACCATTCAAATGCGCGCGAAATATTTCACCTCTGGAGCTATCAGACCAGTAGACGTACCCCTGGACGGGATCAAAGTCCACCCCCGCTGGACTCCTGACATCATTGAGTGGAAGGGCTGTAGCGGTTGTTGAAACCGAGGAACCGGGTAACAGAGGGATTTGGAAGAGTTCTTGCTGCGTTATATCGACAAGCAGCAGGCGCGCAGAGCTCCCTACAAAATGGAACGAAAATAATGTTGGCTAAATGATCGCTATTTTTCTGCTTTGCCGTTTCTACTTTAGATGGTTAATCAATTCAAGATTGTAGGAAAGGAAACAGGCAAATTCTATCCATTCAAGGTAGAAAAATAAATGCAAAAACTCAAAGTCCTCACAGAAGAAGTATCAATGGTAACTGCACTCTATTTCTCCTCTTGAAATGAACTCTTGTTAGCAACTACACGCCCATTCATTATTATTATTACTGGCAGACAGCCGGTGAAAGTTCACTTAAGACTTTCCCTGCCGTGTACACCGTTGAAACTGTGAAAGATTTGGTTTTCTAGCTAGAATATTCCGAGTTTAGTAACCAAAAACAGTGTTTATCAATCATCTATACAGGTTTGCTTTCTTGAATGAGGAAGAATATTCGTGCCATGGTCTTATCTAACAATCTGGCTAATCATGCTTACTATTTCCATACATTTGGTTGCGTTTTTTCCAATTGCTAAGAGATCGCAACGGAAAGTCGACTTTCTTAGGGATCTTTCTCATTTTATCGTCGTTACAAAACCCAGTACCTTCATCATCACACGTCTTTCCATCAGACTTCAAAATCTCTCCTGGTGGGCACGCGCATTGGTTCCCTGCTGGTGATAACAGGCAGAAGTGGCTGCATCCGCCATTGTGGTGGCAAGCGGAGCTACCTAATAATGTAAGTGGCACTTTTGAAAAGAGTGGAAGTCGGAGAAAACCTGGCCAATTATGCTGCCATGCAGGGAAAGAATAATTACCTATTTAAAAAGCTAACGCGATCAAGGTTGGCTGCCAAACTGTTTTAAGTCTTAGCAGCTGAATTTTATCGCATTTAAAATAGGACCTTGTCCTTGGACATTATCTGTTCCTCAAAGCTCACAGTTTTCCTCGAGCAACACTCTCGGGAAGCAGCTGTTCACTTTTCGGATCAGATAATGTCCGCGTACAAATATTCTAGTATATTTTCTCGCCAAATGGAGGCTATTGGTTATATAGCTGCTGCAACTATTTCTGAACATGCTGATAGATACATACCTTTCGGTTGTCGCACAGGAGAAAACATGGCCAGCCTTAGAACGTTACTTCCTCCAAGCCCCGTGTAGCTTCCAAGGGATTGCTTCGTTGCTTTGTCGATCTTGTCGATACTCTGGCTGCTCGTGTCGCTGTAGTAAAACACCCCGCTGTACAAAACAATGTCGTAAGGTCGGATACTGAAAAGGAGTGTCTTAAAACGCTGTCTGTTGTTTCCATTGAAGTCAACGCTTTCTATTCGGCTGGTTAGAGAATCAACCCAGTAAAGACGGTTTGCAGAAAAGTCGAGGGTTATTCCATTCGGTCTAGACGACCACCATAAGCTGGTAAAACTGACCAAGGTTGTCTTACTGTCTCCAGATAGAGTGGCTCTCTCGATTCTCGGTCGTAAACCGCGGCTTATCCAAAACATGTACCTACAAAACCAAGAGAGTGGTTGAGAAAATAAATGCCCTTGTGATGTGTGATTTGCAAAATGACTAGGGATGATATTAAAGCATGGTCAAATTTCAGGCCGCTAGCCTTCACAACTTGCCATGATTCTTAAGTACAAGCGTAACATCTCCTGTCTCAAGAGCATGAAGTGTGGGAGGTACCATCCCTTTTATGGCAGAACGTCTAATGGCCCTCCCCTTCCCTTGCCAGCCCTCCCTTGTCGCAGATTGGATAAAAACGGGACAAAAGAGCACGAGAATGGAAGAATAGAGCGTTTTCACTCACGTGGCAAGCAGCCATGCAAATTTGTGGGAACAAAAGAAACTTTTTACATAAGAAAAGAGTTTTGGAACACCAATATGGCTAACGTGACGTCATGTGAAAAGACTCTATATGATCTCCCGAATCTATTTGCAACGCATACCCCTTTCGTGGATCTACAGCTATTTCCCGTGGGCGGCGGATTCCTGAAGTGATCAGAGTTCGTCTGTTTTTGCCATCCAGTTGTGCCACCTCAATGCGTTCGTTGGTATAGTCAGTCCAGTAAATGAGGTCACTCTCCCACTCCACTGCTAATCCGTCAATCTCGCCAAGACTGCTATCCTTTAAAATGTCTTCTACCTTTCCACTAGTAACATTCAACCTCTTTATGGCGTTTGGCCGAGTCTCGCTCCAGTACACCAAGTTGAGTTTAACATGAACGTCGACAGCCTCGACGGAGTTGAGATTGCTTAAGACTGTGTGCACTTTGGAGGAGTTGATTTCAATCGCTTTTAGTGTATTGCCGTTACCATAATACAGACAAGGTAACGATTGACACGAACTTGATGATACGCCTGGCAGGAACGAAAAAATGATATGTTAATTCCCTTTGTTATTTCCACTAACAAAACACAATAATTAACAATTATTCCACGAGCGCGCGTTGGATATTTACTCATATACCATAATTACTGAGCCAATGAAAAGTCCTGAACTGCATTATCCAATGGTCCAGTTTTTTTTAATAATTTCTGTTCCATTCTATTATAAACGGTTTGTAATCCTCCCCTCGCCTATCTGGTTAAAAATGTACAGGTGTACCCCGCTAGCCATCTCGAACTCTTAAAGGAAACAAAAATAGTTCGAGATGTCGGGGGTTCGAGATAGCCGATAGCAAGAGACCAAAAAAGTAATTCCAAGAGAAACTGACTTAAGTTCGAGACTGAGTAGAAAGTTCGATACAACCGAGTTCGAGATGCTCTAATGTTACTGACTATTTTAAGGCGGTTTTTTTTTTA